GTGATTTACTTTTGTGTGTTTTTGTCAGGCAGAAATTTATTTATACCCCCTGAGGGTGTAAGAGGTTAAAACTTTAAAGTCAAAATTATAAGATTCCATTTTAAAGCCCATATTAAAGATTCAAACTTTCTTTCATTAGTGTCAGACAACTGAATAATATTTTCTAGATTTAAAATAACAGTTTTGAGATAAAGAAATAATTATAGACCTGATGTCCTAGTAACGTAACTTCAAATCATAAGCTAGACTTTTAAACCCTTAAGTATAAGAAGGAAAGTCTTAATTATTTCTAAATTTCTCTAGAATTAGAGTTTGATTTTAAGATATAAAATCATAATTCTGGTCCTCAAGAACTAAAAATAAATCTCAATATCACTTTTCTTTAACAGTGTCCTGTCTGGCAATGTGGCAATAAGAATAATTGTCTTGATGCTAAAAAGAGCCCAACAGATTTTACTTTCACAAGTGGAGCAGAACGGCTATCGTGTTCTGCTTGATTTATGCATTACAGATTATGTATTACAGATTATATGGACACTGCAATGTAAGTAGAACAGGAAAGGAAAAGCAGAAAAAAAAGGGAAAAGATAGAAGAAAGAGGAGATAAAAGGGAGATAACGATAAAACGTCTTCAGTCTGCTTCATCACCTGCAAAGAGATGTAAAAAGAACAGCACAACCAATGGATAAAGTATAATAGATGCAATAAAGTAGCACCTTGATACTATCGCTGAAGTATAAGTAGTATTATACTGTGGTAGCTGAAGGTAAGAATATGGGATTTTTGTATGGAAGTGAATCTCTAAGTACCTGGAATTCTAATGAAAAATGTTTATCTTAACTTTAACCCTTTAAAGCCTGATCCAAGAATAAAACAAAACAGAAAATTACTTTTTTTTTGGTTTGAAGTCCTTATTTGGCCTTTTAACAAAATTGATATTAAGAATTTATTACTATGCGATAAGTCAAGATTATTTTTTGTGTAGTCTTCTGCCATCTGTTATCAGGTATATCTGATTGTGTTCAATAGGATTTTGAGCAAAGT